TGCTATGTGAGTAGTAGACACTTAATGATGTTCATGTAATTAAAATAATATGAAATCATTAATGTTATCTGAAAAATAAAAAGAACAAAAAAAAAAAGAAAAAAAAAGTAGAATGAAACATGAATGATCCGAAATTTATATCTGTATTGATATGCATAACGCATCAAGTATTTTGTTAGGTTTTTTTTTATCTTTAAGGGGTATTTGTTCTCCTATCCCCATTCAGAGTATATGTTTTTTCCCTCCCCCATCTGGTCTGGAAAGATTTAAGATGACCATTTTCTGTGAATGACGATGTACTCTCTGACGAGAATGGTGACGCAGATATCTGTTAGGGGTCACCTTTGTCGAATTACTGTTGTGACTATAAAATATCTGATATGACCACTATGGTTGGTATGACTATGGTTGTAGTCGTGCCATGGTTTGACAGGCCAAAAATATGCATATGCAAATTGGTGTTATTTATATCTGATCTGGTCATTCCACATAGGTAGTAAAAAATCTGTATATGCCTTCAGGGATAGAAGTTGTAACGACTTCGCGAAGCATGACACGAAAATATGAGTATTTCATCATTTATTTGATTTTCTCTATTATTTGGTATGCTGTGTGTTTATCTTGATTATATTAACGTGATGTTTTTTCTAATAAATAAATTATTTTCATAAGATAAGATAGGTCTACGAAGTAACCAAATAATAAGTGTTTATGCTATAATAATTCACCTTTAAAACCTTATAATGCTACTTAAATACTGTTTTTCTTACTGAGCATGTGTAACTCACTCTTTGTATACCCTCTCAAATGAGGAAGAGAATGAGGAACTGACAGCTGACTACCCATTAAAGTTTATAAGGATACCGTGGATCTGCAAAACTTGAGTGCATGATCGTCCCCGCACTTTGATGAATCCAATAGTATAATGATAGAAGTGACATTCTTTTGTATTTTGACAATATATTTTGCAGCCACTTTTGGCCTCAATTATATATATATATATGTAATTGAAACTCATATATTTGTAAAAGATTTGTATTAATTTACTTCGCTGCATAAAATTTTATCATGCACTTGTAACTTATTTCTGTATTTGACATCTATATGCCTTATTAGCATTTGGGATGTCACAATAGACAACTTATATTTTTCCTACTCCAGAATAAAATAGTATTACAGAGTGAAGGAATCGTACATTACTAGACATGGTTAGATCGATGATAGTACATGTCAACCTCTCTAATAATTTTTGTGGAGATGAGTTGCTTACGACAACTTACATCCTTAACCATATACCAACTAAAAGTGTACCCGTCACTCATATGAGTTATAGAATAGCAAGAAGCCCATTTTGGATCATTTACATCCTTGGGGGTTGGTAGGCTATGTGCATAACCCAACCCACAAACACGGAAAACTAGGTCCAATAGCAACTATAATGGTGTTCATTAGGTATCCGAACATTCAAAAGGATATGTAACATTTAAAGAACATTTGAATGGTGGCATGATCGAAATTGACTCCAGCAATATTGATTTTCTTGAGGATTAGTTCCCAAGTATTGGGGAAATGAAAGCAAACCTCGAACTATATGAGCCATAGGAAGACATGCAACTATCTACTGGTAAGAGGGAGGTATTAAGAATCTACTAAGTCACTAAGGATAATTGTATTCCACCAAATGAACGAGAGTGAGAGTGATCCTATTATCCTAGATCGTGGAAAATTGTTGACGAATGATAATCCACCAAAAAATAGGGTTAGTCCTTAAGATCTAAGCTTGGAACATGAGGTTAGTTCTTAGGTTCCAAATCTAACGACAATAAGGGATAGTGACAAAGATTTATCATCTACTTAGGTGATGAAGGTCCTAGAATCTGAAGGAGTGAACGTATAAAAATTCCCCTATGATATTTTTAAATCGAATGAGGAATTTTCCTTTACACTTCTTTAGAAATTGAGGAACCTACCTTCTTTAAAGAGGCTATGAATTCACCAAACAATAAAGAGTGGATTGATGCCATCAGGGATGAGATGGACTCAATGACAAGAAATAAGATTTAAAAACTAGTTAATCTCCCCCCTCGACGTAAATCAATTAGAAATAAGTGGATTTTCAAGATAAAACGTGGAGTAAATGGATCAATTGAAAAGTTTAAGACCCGATTAGTGGCGAAAGGTTTTACCCAAATTGAGAGTATAGACTATGAAGAGACTTTTTCTCTTATGGTGAGATTTGCCTCTATTCGCCTCTTTCTAGTCTTGGTTGTCCATTTAGACTTGGAGTTATTTCAAATGGATGTTAAAATTGTTTTCCTCAATGGTACACTTGAAAAAGAGATATATATGGATCAACTTATTGGGTTTGTCTCAAAAGGTCAAGAAAATAAAGTTTTTCATCTTAAAAGGTCCATATATGGTCTCAAACATTCTTCCAAACAATGGTATTTCCAATTTTATGAAGTCATTACTTCGTTTGGTTTGTCCATGATAGATGAAGACCATTATGTGTATTTCAGAAAATAACATGAGGGATTATGGTTCTTTCCTTATACATTGATGACATATTATTTGCTGGAAATAACATGGAGATGATCGATGCCATTAAGTAGTGGTTGTCCTTTATTTTTTAGATGAAGGACATGGGTGAAGTCAGGTTTTTCCTTGGCGTGGAAATAGTGAGAGACCGTCCCAAGAAACTTCTAGGACTGTGTTAGGAAGTATATATTAAGAAAGTCTTGGAACTATTTCGTATGCATTACTCCAAACTCATTGATACCCATGTTGAGAAAAGTCTAACCTTAAGTCTTGACCAGTGCCCAAGGACAGATCAAGAGAAAAAGAAAATGAGCAATGTTCCTTATGTTAATACAATAGGCAGTTTGATATGCGCCATGTTGTAACTAACTGAACTCTAATATTGGTGGGTACGAACATTTGCACAATATTTTCAAGTAGTGAAACTGATAAATATTAAATATGCAGTGGAACTACATTTTAATATACATCCCTTATGACAGAATAATTAATTGTTTACAAATAATTAAAACATCTAAATTAATTTATAATTTTAAAATAAAAACTAATAAAGTTTTCTTCGCCATTTCAATTGATCTTTGACTTGTTTCTCATCTCTTTTGACCTAGGTGAGGGGTGAATTGGGGTGAGTTTCACAAACTCAGTAAGAAAAAAAATTTAATAATGGAGACTTACATACATACATTCATGCAATATATAAAATGTAATAATATTTATAATTGAACAAATATTAGACAAGGCATCACAATCAAAATACACAACAAAATAAATCAACACATCAATATATTATAATCCTCTCTCTTCTGATTTAACTATTTCCATTTCTCTATTCGCATATCCTATGCATATCATTCTCTCACTTATCACACTTTTCTCTTAAATACATCTTACACATATAGATTTTTCGCGCACATACACATGGGTTCACATCTTTCTGAAAACAAAATGGATTTACTCACACACACAAATCTCTCCACTTGAATTTCTCACCCACACATATCACTCCACTCGGACTTGTAATTTTATATTATTTAGTCTTTTAAATTTTATTTAGATTACCATCCCACGATGCCCATTATATAGCTATCGAGGAAAGGCAAAAAGGACCCCCCCATCGCATGGATAAGACATACAATCTCATACTGACCACAACAGTTACGTTTGATAGGTGACCCACATGCTCACAAATACATATCTACGTCTGGACTAGGTTTTAAATAACTATCTATGTGCAGGTTCACCATTTCCACTAAACTTCAGCCACACATACCCTTCCCTCCTTGATTCATGACTAACAAATTAAGTGTTTTGTGTATTCTTCACAGTTTTCATATTTCATTATCAAAAATTTCTCTTGTTCTTCTATTTACTTGCCACACAATTTATTCATGCATTTACCTAAATTCTCTATTTCTAGAACTATTTCGTATGATTTCCTTCTTAATGGCTTATTTAGTCTATTTTTCTAACTAACTTACACCACTCAATTTCTTCATTGTTTGTTTTCTAGATCTATTCAACTTATTCAGTTTCTTATTTAAAAATAGAAAATCTATATTAATTTAAAGTCTTAACTTCTACACACAACTAATATAAACGCACACAAAATATACGACATCATCACGCACATCAGAGCTATATATTTCAAACTACTTTCTGAATTATCTTGTACTAGATTACACAGCAAACACAAGATCCTCAGATTCCTCGTGCAACTGTACCATATCACACAGTAAGTACAATGCACCATACATCTGCACCAGATTATACAACAAGTACAGTGTACCCAGATTCCACACGTACACACACTAGTTATATATTTCACATGCATAATATATGTACATACATATTAATACACACACATATATTACAATACAGACATATACCCTCACTACATGTCTCACACAAAATTATATTTGTATTCAATTTTTATCAATGCATACACATATTCATACTTAAATATGTATACACAATCACACACAACACATCATATGTAACTATTTAGGTATTTGTTCTTATCAGTTCTGTTCTCATCAATTAATATCTACACAAAATATACACATATACAATTTATACATATTTATATTTACACACATCATTTATAATTTATAAGTACAATATTATGTCTCCGTACGGAATACACTCAATTCTTACCTATGATGTGATCAGAAAAGCTTTGGGAATCCTTTCTGACTCGATTTACAATCCTAAGAGAAATCTAGATACTGTTGGGGTAATTTTCCTCGTTTATAATGAAAAATATACATTAATTTACAAATAATTGCGAAAACCATATAAAACGAAATGAGGAACATATTTTATCTTGGGACACGCGACCCTAGTCGCTAATGTCACCACACAGGGTTTTGGACTGGAGTTTAGTGAACTGCGGGAGTATACACACGGATTCTTCAGCAATGTAGCAGAAATTTTGGATGATGGCTTTACGCCGGTGGGAATGGTTTGGTTCAATTGAAGTTATGTTGTTTGTTTAGCCACCCATATTTACTCGGCTATGGTTTTTTGGTTTTTGTTGGGCAGTATCTATCTCATGTTGTGCCCCTCACATTTTCTTCGTGCAATCTTGATGATGGCTCCGCCGTGGACATTGATGAGTTTGATGATGAGAACATTAATGGATTTGGTGGTGTATCATCTGATGATGAAGCTCGTGATGAGCCAAGAGTTCGAAACATTAGCATAAGAACTGGAGTTTTGGATGAAAAGGCAGCTGCAACCCAAGCACTTGGCTTATTTGCTTTACATACAAAGAGTTCTTACGCTCCGTATCCTTATTTTCTTTTTGTTTCTTCAGGCTCAGTTCTTTTTTCTTAACAAACTGTCAGTTCTGGTAAAAAAAAAAAGTACCACAATTACTATTGAGAAGTGTGTTTAAGATATTATTTGTGACTTTAATTATTTCAAGCTATTTGGAGGAGACATTAAGGATTATGCTAAGGCATTCTGGCTATTTTCATGAAGATGTACAATGTACCAACAACAGATCTGGTCGTTGCGCTTCCTTTTTTCTTTTCTCTTTTTTTTTTCCTTCTTTCTTCTTCTTCCCCATGACTACTTCCTCTCTCCTCCACCGCACCATGGCCACCTCGTTCGAACACACAGAACTTTTTCTCCGATTGTACTCTTTCTCTCTTGTGCACGCAGGGCCCCTCGGTTCGGCCCGCTGCGCTCTCTTCTCTTTCTTCTTCCCTTCCTTCCTCTTTTTCTTTCTTCCTTTCTCTCTCTTTCTTTTTTCTCTCTCTTTCTTTTCCTTCTTTTGTCTCTTCTTCTCTTTTACCCAACCGTTCTCTCTCTCTCTCTCATCTTTTTTTGTTCTCTAACCAACAACGATTACTCTTCTATTTCTTTCTCATTCGATCGCGATATCGCGCAACACTACGCGACCTATCTCTCTCGACTGTTGATGCC